ACGAAGCCGTCCCCGCGCCCGGGCCGCACGCCGCGGCCGCCCCCCCCTCTCTTGGGAAGATCACTCCTTCGCCCCTCCTGGGACACGGGCTGGCCCTGGCCCTGGGTTTGCCGCGGCTCTTTGTGGATGCCGCAATCGAATCCGGCTCTTCACTTTCGTGGCTCTAGACACGCGCCTGCGCGGAGACAGGCCACTTCCAAAATGGCTGAAGGGCAAGGCCCCCTCTCTGCGTGGGACACTACCAACATGGCGAGGGCCGAAAATGCGTCATTTCTCCGCGCTGCAGGCGCCTCGGTTTGACGTCACGCCGAGCATGCCTTCCAGAAGACTGCATGAGGCTCCTTGCTGCCCTTCCTACCTTTCCTGCCATGGCCGCCCGAGGTGCGGGAAGGGCTGCTCCTCCTGCCGTCTGTGAGAGCCTCAGTTGGAGAACCAAAACAACGATTCCCCCAATCCACTTTTACCAGAATGAAATGTAAAGCAGGTTGTAAAGCATTGAGCTTTTGTATGAGATACTTTCAGCAAACAGTTTAGTCTCCTACAAGTTTTGCAAACCCTGTCCTGGCTTGCTAACAATGCAGTGTCTAGCAACAATGTATATGGCAAGTTGCTGAAGCTGAGCTAAATTTGTTGTATGTCTGAAATGTCATTTATTTATTTAGAAAGCGTCTATGCCGCCCCATTCGCTGAAGCCTCAGGGCGGCTTACAACAATAAATAAATAATAACAATATAAAACAATATCATATAATTGGAGACGTCCTGGCCAGCTGTTTCACTAGAAACACAGAGAATGCAGAGGCTCGTACTCCAATGTCATGGTGATTTGAGAAAACCCCAACTGGTGGAAGGATGGCACAGAGATTCCATCAGCTCGTCATTCCTTGCTGGGAAGTCATGAATTGGTCATCGGCTCGTCGTGCCTCGGCACAAATCAATTAATCTTCCATCGGTTCTTCCTGCCTTGGCACCAATCGATTAATCTACCATTGGCTCATCATGCCTTAGCTAGAATCCATTAATCCTCCATCGTCTAGTCGTGCCCTGGCAGGAATCTATTAATCGGTGGTTAGCTCATCCTGCCTAGGCAAAAATCGATTAATCCTCCATCAGCTAATCGTGCCTTGGTAAGAATCCATTAATCATCCATCAGCTATTCGTGCCTTGGTGGGAATCCATTTATCTTTCATCTGCTCGTTATGTCTTTTTGACACAAATTGGTTAGTCTTGGGGCTTCGACTGTGAGGTGGCCCGGGGTGGGGGTGGGGGGGACGTGTACGAAGAGGGAGATTATTTTCAGAGGGATTAATGCTAATGTGTCCTTTACTGGATTTTTTTTTCCATTTAAACATTCACCTTTTTTTAACCACACCTTGTTTATAACTTCGAACTTAATTCGTTTCAGGAGGCCGTATTTGCTGTTCCAGTTTACCAAAATGGGTATCGTTTAGGGTCTGGGCAGGGATCTATTCACTTTGCATTATTTCTAATTCCTGGCAGTGGCCACAGGAGGGCCCTCCAAGGCGCGCCGCTAATGTCTAAAACGGGGCTCTCGGGCGCAGGAGGCCGCAATTCTCGGCAGTGGCCACAGGAGGGCACTCCAGGCGCGCCGCTGACGCCTCCGTTGCTGAGCGTAGAGCCACACCAGGCACCCCCAGCTGCACGCAGCCCACCCCACGCACGGGCCGCACGCTGCGGCCGCCCCCCCCACCCCCCGCTTTTGGGAAATTCGGGGACGGAGCCTCTTCGCCCCTCCTGGGACACGGGCTGGCGCTGGGGCTGGCTCTGGGCTTGCTGCGGCTCCTTGTAGATGCCGCAATCCAATCCGGCTCTTCACTTTCGTAGCTCTAGACACGCGCCAGCGCGGAGACAGGCCACTCCCAACATGGCTGAAGGGCAAGTCCCCTCTCTGGGTTGGACACTACCAACATGGCGAGGGCCGAAAGTGCGTCACTTCTCCGCGCCGCAGGCGCCTTGTTTTGACGTCACACCCAGCATGGCTGCCCGAAGGCGACGTGAGGCTTTTTGCTGCCCTTCCTGCCTCTCCTGCCATGGCCGCCCGAGGTGAGGGAAGGGAAGGGAAGGGAAGGGAAGGGAAGGGCTGATCCTCCCCCCGTCTGCGAAGACGGGGGCGGTGGGGTTTCTCTGCCCCCCCCCCCGCGTCTCTCGCTCCCGCCAACCCCCGGGCTGGTGGCCCTGGCCCCTCCGTGGAAGTCTGGGCAGAGATGCCGCCTCCAGCGGAGAGGCCCCAGGAGGCCGGGCGGGCCTTGCCGCAGATCTCACGTGCATGTGCAAAGCGCCTTGGCTTGTGGGCTTGCCTTGGATGGGGGCGGGGGTCCTCCCTTCCTGACCCCCCCCCCGCCCGCACCAGGAATCAGACGCAGGGCTCGGCTTTCATGGGCGCAGGTAGGATGCCTGTTGAGGCAGTGCGGACCCGTTCCCGGAGGAATTTATGGGGGATCGAGCCCCGTTTGAATGTCAGAATGCCAGCTTCCCGGTTGGCACACGCAGCATTCGATTTTCTGCTCTTGTTAGAGTGGAGAAGAGCAGCAGAGGCTCTCATTTATACCATCCCATCTCTCTTTTGAAGTACACCAGGGGACTCAGATATAGGAAATGCGACCCCCCCCTCCGGGGGGAGGAGGTCTCCCATCCCCTTTCCTCCCTGCAACTGCCTTTGACCAGCTTCCAAGGTGGCTTCAGTGGGGAGAGGAGGTTGTACGTGGCAGGCCTTTTTATCTCCAGTAACGCTTGATATTGATCCCTTCCTTAGTATTATGAGCTTTTATACGTAACGCACTTCTAGTATGAAGACTGTTGTCTGTATTGGAGAGTGAATAAGCTGAGCAATCCTTGCGGCTTGCACTTTTGTGGAGGGCTCAATTATTTTTGGGGGGAACCCTGGGAAGGGGCAAAATGGATAGAGGTGAGCAAACACGCACATGCGTGTCATTATCTGGAAAAAGAGTTGGAATGGCCAGTTCTAAACAGCTGCTCTTGTTTTGATCAGAGGCCACGTTGGAAAGCGTACTTAACATGCCCTCCTTATGGCACTTTTCGCCTTCATATGGTCCAGATCTTCCTTTGGCCAGCGTGCCTAAGAGACCAACGCTGTCAAAATCATCTGTTTGCCATCTCAAGGACCATCGCTGAGAGATCATTTCCAGTGTGAAGGTTCTGGCTATGGAAGAGATCACAGGAGTGAGTGCATCCATTTTCCATCTCTCCCTTCATGCAAACGGCTGCTTGATGGCCTGTGGCAGTGTAGTTCTCCTGAAGCCTGCCTCAGGCAAGAGCCGCCTGAGAAAATCCTTCCCTTTGGTTCTCAGTCTGCATGCAGTTTTACCGATCTTGTTGACATGGTTCCTTTTTTGATGGGGGTAATCCATCTGCGTGAAATTTAGGAGCGCAGTGTTGAGCACCAAGTCATTTGGTGGGGTAGAGGCCGCCGTTCTTCCCCCGTTTTCCCCCATGCGGTAGATGGTCTGCATCAGAGGTCCCCGAGAAGTCTCAGACCAAGGCCACGTCTCTTGTCTGCAGCTGGGGTTGACTGCTCCAGGACCCCGGAGACAACGAACGTGCACTTGATATCCCAGAGCGTTCGTCAGAGAAACGACAAGCATCAGACAGTGATCGGCGACATGATCTCTGCTGGAGGTGGAGAGCGGCAGACCGATTCATGCAAAGTACGTGTCTGATGTGCTGCTGCCAAAGACCTTGGCAGCAGAATTGTTTCTGTGGACGCAGCCCGTGTGAGCGGGATACCCCCTGACACCTCCCTTAAACCTTTCCCGTTGACATTGCCGATGTAGCATCCTTTTAATAGTGACTTGGGTGGGGATAGGTTCCCTGGTGCACCTGCTGAAGCTGCTGTCACTCCTTCCGTGTCCCGGGTGGTAGAAGGAGGTCACCCCTCTAAATACAGAAACAGCTGTGCCAGAATCCTCTAGATTGCCTTGGGCGCAGCCCCACACATGTGCAGGCAGGAAGACGGCCTACAACACCCAAGGTTCTGCAGCGGGCTGGGGAATCACGTGCGGCTCAACATGCGTAGGCTTCCACCGCAATTCATTTTCCTTGCCTTTCCTGATCCTGCTCCACCGCTGTCCAGCCTGCGATTTTGAGCCACCTGTGCTGATGACGACTGGACAATACTAACCAGCCCTCTTACGTTTTGACCTTTCAGGGAGATGCTGGCAGTCCCGTCATTCGTGAGGCCGACGCCAGGAAGGAGCTGTGTGGAACCGTAAGCGGGGCGCTAGCTGTGCCGAGAAGGAGAAACCCAGAGTCTAAACAAGGGTCCCATGGGTCGAATCACACGTGAACGGGGCCCGCTTCAGGACCCACCGCCCTCCTGAATGAACACGGGAACTTTCTTTGCAGGCTGCTGGGCGACTCCTTGAAAGTGAGCAAATGAATGTCACGGTGTCGAGCCAGTTTTGGAGCCGATTTTTCCTCGGTGGTTATTTTTGCAGCTTCTCATGTCATTCTGTCTGGGGTGAAAATCTTCAGCCGTCGCTGAAACAAAACTTGTCCCACTGAAAAACAGGACCATATCTAAAATTTGAATGGGAGCTGCTCTGTCGGTCCATCCGATGTGTGCCACTGTATCTCTAGAAATTAGTATTAAATCATGGTGTGAGGTTTTCTGGTGAGGCCTAAAATTGGCTATGAACTTGCTCACCTTGGAGCCACCCAGAAAAACAAAGGCCCACGTAGGACGTAAGGATGTGGTCTGAGCTGGTGTAACTAGAGCTTCACTGGAACGGCCGAGCTTCATGAGATTAGAGGGCCGTGCCCTTGGCATCAGGTTCTGTCATTCTTGGGGATGTCCTGCCTTTGCCCCTGTGTCTGAAAGCCACTGCACGAACCGTCACTGAGCCTGCAGAGTTGTATACCTTCACACTGTGAGCTTGGATGGCCTTTGGCAGACATGGGGCGGGGGTGACCCCCCACAACGAAGTTGTAAATTCATTGTTGCTGAACATTTCCTTTTCAAATAAGCTTTTATTGATTGAACTTGTAATATATCTTTGGGGCTGGATGGCCCCTTGTTAGTTAATGATTTTATTTTAACCTCTTCCTCATAAACAAGTGTTAACCTGCCTCCTCTAAAGCCTGAATACTTGTTTCTCAGAATAATTTCTTCTTCAGTGCAAGTAATGAGTTGTTCTTAAGGCAACAAGGTTACAATTTACTGGCTATTGCAAGTAGACTGATGGGGTGAGAGTTGAAAGAAGGTTTATACCTCCTTTCTTGTAAATATTATAATGACCCAGATCATTTATCAGGTAATGGAATAGCCCTATTAATTTGTGTAAATACGACTATTATAAACTGTATGATAATTACTTTCAATAGTTAAGGCATAGCTAAATCTGGTCCTGGAACTTCCCAGATTTTCTTTGGAAAATTAGTATCTTTATTTCAGAATGGCTCACAGAGCCCCAGTTTGAAAGATCAGAAATATCCAGGAGGGGAAGAATGGAATACACTGAACCTTGCTTTCTGGGCTCTCTAAAACTTGAGAAAGTATGTTTCTCAAACCTGAAGTGTTCCAAAGAGAATTTGTTTTGTCTACCTTTTTCAGTATCTACTCAGGTATATTTAGCATATTTTCAGGAGCAAACAGCCTGTGCAATAGTGGCTCTTTGAAATGCTACTATGCGTGCATTAGGAAAGCCGGCTGGAGAGACGCAACAAATGGAGGTATACACACCCCAAAATAGGGTGGCTCTGAATCATGTTTTGGTACCAAAGGAGGGGCCTGTGGGGTGATTGGACATACCTGTAAGGTGGATCTAAACACAACAGACGTCAATGAAAACTTAAGAGCAATCCAACAGGTAATACCAGGGATCAAAATAAGGCAGGAGTCAGGAATAGGAGAATGACTGACATAATGGCTCCCCAACTTTATGCGGTTGGAATACCTGTTTTCATATTGGGGATGATGGCCATAAGCATAATCTGCTGCATTTGCCTACAGTGTATACTGGTCTGCACCCCATGTAATAAGGAGGTGCGTTTGGGAAAAATGTACAGGCAAGGAGGAAATGATTAGGATGATGGTATCAAAGTTTAAGAATTGGGAACTGTTTCAAATCAGGGTGAAGGAAAGAAAAGGGAGGAATTGATAGGTGTGAAAGGATGATTTGAAACAAGGGTCTTCAGAGACAGTAGGGAGGAGCAGCCCTTCCTGCCCGGGAGCTACCCCCCATTCCTTTCCTTTCCTTTCCTTGGGTGGCCATGTCAGGAGAGGCAGGAAGGGCAGCAAGAAGCCTCACGTGGCCTGTGGTGTGGAAAAGTGACGCGCATTCGGCCCTCGGCATGTTGGTGGTGTTTGACTCAGAGAAGGGGCTTTGCCCGTCAGCCATCATGCGAGAGGCCTGTCTCCGCAGAGGCGCGTATCTAGATCTACGAAAGTGAAGAGCCAGATTGTGGCATTCCACAAAGTGCAGCGGCTGTCCCAGGCACAGCCCGTTTCGCAGGAGGGCCAAAGAGCTCCGTCGCTGATGTTACAAAAAGGGCGGCGGCAGCAGAAGTCGCTGGAGCCACGTTTTACTCTTCTCGAATACAAACACACACCAGACCGTGCTGCAAGCGTGAGTTGTACGTGCAGGCTGTGTGTGGGGAGGGCTTTGTCCTGCCGGGGGTGAGCTCTCTGGCTCTACTCTCAGCAACGGAGGTATCAGTGGCGAGCCTGGAGCGGCCACTTCTGTGAATTGTGGCCTCCTGCGCCCACCAGTCCCGGTATGAAAAGCTAGCTTAAAGGCTGGTGAAAGCCTTAGTTTCGCTGCTAAACTAAGGCTTTCACCAGCCTTTAGTCTCATGAGTTATCCTGTCCTGAGGGGTTCTCAATGGTAGAAGTGAAGCAAAAGAGAAAAAAAGAATGAGAACAGAGGAGGGAGAAGGCAGACATATATGGGCATCAAAGCTAGATCTTTCCACAAAATCCTTTCAGCTCTTCTGTCCCTTGACTGTAGTATACATGAAAATAATCTTGGAGTTATAGTCTGAATATAGATCAGCTGAAAATAGATCAGTACTATGATCTATGGATGCAAAAAAATCAAAAAGGAAATGCCATTTTCATTTGCATCCACTGAGGTGTGCTTTTCTACTCATGTCAAGTGAGAGTTCCATTCCACTTTATGCCATCAGGCCTCACTTCTAACACAAAGCTCTACGCTCATGAGGCCTGCCCCTAACGCGTGCGCCCTCAAAGAAGGCTCCCCCCCCCCACCCCACAGCCTAATTCAGTTGGGGCTATGAGACGTGAAAAGTGCTTATGCCGCCTTTTTTCCTGCAAGGAACCCCCCCAAGGCAGCTCACACGATACCCATTCTCCCCTTTCTATCTTCACAACAGCCCTGTGAGGTAGGAGAGCTGCGAGTCCGCGTTTCCCACAGAAGCCTGGAGAATCTAATCCCTACTTCGAGTAGACCCTTACAAGCAAAAGATCACAGCCGAAACCTCGGAAGCCGTCCTGGGAGCAGGTGCAGAGGGAAGGAGTGGCAGCTCTTCCCTTTCGTACGTCTATAGGAGAGCCTCCAGAAAGCCGCCCACTATTAATAAGGCGGGGGGGGGGGGGGCTAATCTGTGCCTGGCCGCCCTGATGTGAGCCGCCCCGAGGCTTCGGCGAATGGGGCGGCATAAAAATGTTTTAATAAATAAATAAATAAATAATCTCCCAGTAAGAAGACACGAGCAACATGGCGTTAGTGTCGTCACTTCCGTCCCTCCCAAACCGAGTAAGGGACTTCCTTGCCACTCCTAACATGGCTGCCAAAAGGCGAGGTGCAGCTTTTCCCTGCCCTTCTTCCCAGGAAAGGACTTTCCCTTGGGAGTGCCGATGCTGCCGCTCGCAGTCGTAACGTTTCTTCCGCACTGCCTGACCCAGCCCTTCCTAATTAAGGGACGTGCACGCAGGACTTGGCCGCCCCCAAGTTGTGGCCTTCCCCCCACCCCGCGGAGCTCTCTCCCTCCCCCCAGTTCTCCCGAATGGATCAGGCAAGGGGGGCTGCCCCTCGCCCTGCCTTTCCCCTCGGGGCAGCATCAATGGGCTGGTCCGCCTGACTCGCCTTCCCCGCTCTAGCGGGTTGTATGCGTTTGAGGCGGCTTTTGAGTGCGGGTACCAGCTGAAGCAGTGAACGCTCCTACAGCCGGTGTGGGCCAGCGATTAAGCATGCTGGGCTCGGGGTAGTGCTGGGACTCAGGCGATCCGGGTTCTAGTCCCTTCCTGGCTGTGGAGCTCACCTACTGACTTTGGGCCAGGCACAGAGTCTCAGCCCGTCCTACCCTGCAGGGCTGTTGTTGTGACCATCAGATTTTGCAAAACATTATGCCAGCTGCCTTGACCACATTGCAGGAAAAAAGAAGCACTATACATTAAATATATAATAGCCTCTGATTTCTGAACAAACTCCACTCTCCCTGATGGTGACAAATGATAAAATACTATTTTTAGAGACTATCAAAGGCCCAATATTTATAAGGAAAAAATACCTTCCTCTCAGTATCCTCCACTTTCTACACTACTGTAGATGCATTTGCCCCCTAAATGAAGTGTTTCTCTTGTTCCCCGACCTGCTTCTAGTTTTGTATTCTATTTCTTCTCCCATTATTTCAATGTTTAATTGGTTTTAATTGTGATTATATTGTGAATTGCCTGATGCTGTGCCATTTTTATCTGTGTTTCTTTTAAAGTGTCCCAAGATGCTAGTAAGGGAATGGTGTACAAAAGCTTGAACAAACGAACGAACGACTCTTTGACTAGTTACCAGCCCTGTGATTGGACCATTGACTTGTAACACCTTGCCTGTGTTACGTATTCCACAGTGTGGGCTGCAGCACCCAGTCCCCAGGCTGAAGTGGGCAACGAAAGATAAGGTCAGGAAGGTCCCTTCCTCCACCTAATGCCCTTTCTTGTTGTGCTGTAGTCAGAAAAGGCCAGAGGGCAGAAACTGTGAAAACAACACAATGGGAGACTGGCCCCTGAGAGCAGGAGAATGAGGAAGGGTTCAGGAGCAGCAAAGTGCAGCAGGCAGGGAATTGGCAATTACATCTAGGGGCTCAGTCTTAGTGGAATGGTTTTACCCCAAGTCAGAGATGACTATACCTTTCAGTAAAGTCTATTTTCCTTAAAAGCTAAACATTTGTCTTTTTAAGACGCTGCTTATCCTTGGAAGCAACACCCTTCTATCGCTATCTTTGAAAAGTTGCCAACTCACACTCTTGCTTGCAGGAAATGCATTCAAAGCAGAATTAAAATGCCTTTTCCTGTAACGTTTAACGTGGAGTGCAGCACTATTTTCCATGCTTGGCTCAACTTAATACCACTGAGGTTAGCACGGGGCGCTTTGCCCCCAAAATTATGCCTAAGAAATCTGCTGTGCTGCCCACGACTGAAGGTTGGTGCTTTCATATGAAAGACCAGTCTCCCTTCTCTGCTTGCCTATGAACTCATTGGGTTACCCTGGACAAGCAGGACCAGCTTGTTCATATAACCAATCCAAGGCATTAGTGCAATCAAGCTGGTGAATACTTAAGGGTGTGGCAATACATCCTTGAGTCTCACTCAGTAAAATGGGACAATTGTGTTTTTCTGGGTGACTCCAACCATTAGCAGGTTAACCGCTCATTTTC